ACTAAAGGTCCTAGAACCACCTGGGTTAAGGTCAATCAGGCTAGGACCCTGGGAGCCTGTTTCACAGAGGATTGGTATTTTCACTGGAACTGAACGCATGAATTATGACCCTGCAGCTGCTAGCATCGATTTTGCTCCCAAGAGGAAGTGCATACTTAGATTTGGAACCTATTCAGAGAAGGTCACAGCAGATAGATAAGGAGAGATGGGGTTCTGGATTCAGCTGTGCCCAAGACCAGAGACACAAAATAAATTTCCTTTTTTGCTCAGGTAGACTTGAATCAGTATTTTTATTACTTGCAATCAAAGGAATCTTTTTTATTCATGTATGTTTGCAAAACACAAAAGTATGTTTGGTTGGGAGAATTAGTATGTGTAAGTAGCATATCTTGATAATTTTTATCTCTTTACCCGCTTTCAAAACCACCGCTTTCACTCTGATCTCCTTCTTCATTTCTAAATGATTCGCTGTTTCTTGGTATTTAAAATGAAAAATTTGAAAACCAGCCAGTGTTTCTCAATGAGGGCACAATTGACACTGGGTTAGGATAATTCTTTGTTATACAAATGGTCCTGAACCTTTTTTTTTTTTTTTTGCCTCTCCCCCCTCAAATGTGAAACACACACACACAGACAGACACACAAACCCACATACACTTCTAAATACCCCCTACGAGAGTGGTACTACCCCCAGCTGAAAAACCAATGAACTAGAAAATCTCTAATGCCCCCTTACAGCCACGCTGAAATTAGCACATCAAGTGTCAGAAATTAAATTCCCTAACGTCTATTCTTAGCATCAACTGAGAATAAATTAATTTCTGTGTTCATTTCCTTGAAAAATGAGACTACCAACATACAGTGATATGAATAAATTTATAAAAGGATAAATAAATTACTTGATACTAAATAACTCTACCATAAACCAAAATGGAATATCATTGGTGCATATAAGTTGCCCTACTAAACGATAAAAAATAAGCAAACTTTTAAAGTGATCTTTTCAGATCCTTAATTCTTCTATCAATAAGGTTTAAAATCACTTATACAGCTACTCTCTGCAGCCATCATTTTTCCAAGCTTCTTTAATTACACCTCCAGCAAGAGCATTTGGTCTTGGATGTAAGAATGGGGGCTTTATTTATAGAAGGAAGTGGACCCAGATGCTCCTTCAAGGATGAAGACGGGACAGTGGTGAAACTGATGGTCATGCTTAGTGGTGCTGATTCTCATGCTGATCTCTTCAAACACACAATTTACTACATATCATTGTCTGCTAGCCAAAACCACAAACATCAAATCAAATGTCAAAGACCTCACGCCCTACATGATACTAAGTAAATGTACTAAAATAAACTTTCCAGTATTCTTATCATTTTTAAAATCTACTTTTCTGTTACTTTGTCATCTTTGTGAGTTTGGGTATTCTATTTTTGCTTCAAGCCATGTTACTTTTCCTTCTTGGCAACTGTGTGCTCTTAATATCAATTCTCAAAAAATGATCTGAGCACTCCCTGGCACGCCTGGCTCTGTCTGTCAGGAGAGTGGGCTACGTTCCATGCATGGCCTTTGAAATGTGAGCAGCACAGTAAGATGACTTCACATTGCATGAGCACACCGACCAAATGCAGGATGAGGGATATAGGCACGACACAGACAGTCCTTTCATCTCAGCTGTCTTCAAAATGTCATATAAATTATGTCTCGCCAGGATGTCTTGCTGGATGTCTTGCCAGGAGTTGGGGGCAATTCTGATGTGTAGGAGAATTTTAGGAGGATTCTATGCCACTCTACCAGCTCAGCTAGCTGACCACCACTGCTCTCCACCTCAGCCCTTCTTTGAAACGTAGCAGTGGCTTCTGCTCCTTGCAACAAAGCAGTCATTTTGCTCTTTGAAGGCTGAAAAAGATGTACCTTAGACATCAGAGGCAGAAGGGGGGAAGGAAAGGGAGGCAGTCAAACCACTTCAAAACTACTTTCAGAGTTTCAGGCTGCAGAGAGAGTGGTCCTGAAACTGGGAGTGAAACCTCAATCTTTCCTACAGTCATCTTTGAAGCCAAAAGTTGATGGGAAGACTGGCTTTGAAGCACAGCCCATAGCTTCATGAAAAGCAGATTTAAGTCGTTTCATGCATTAGCTTTGCTTAAATTACAGGGGCTGCTCTGAACAGTCTCTCTCATCTTCTCCACACCTTCATTCCTCAGATTTTAAGTCTCACAAAGGAACTGAGAAGTGAAGTTCAGCAGAATAGACCACAAACTAGGCTCATGCAGGGCTGTTTTAAGGAAATGAAGTCTAGAGCCGTGTCCATTCCTTCTATATGTCAAGTAACCACCTCCAGCTGGGCCAAGTTGATGGAGCAAATATTCACTGTTCACATGACTTTGCTGCAGTGCCATAATGAATGTATTTCTTTGATGGAAGAAAGAAGCTTCATGAAATAAACTGTTTGAAGATTTGGAGTCAGAGCTGGAAACATGGGCTGCTTTGTTCTTATGACAACTGCTTCACTATCTAAAATATTTCTGTTTTTGAAGGCTCTGTCTTTTCTCTTCCAGTCACAGCCCTCGAGCTACAATAACAAGCTCGTGATTTTTTTTAAGATGCCAAGGTTATGAATACTCTCTTCTGAATATTTTCCTTTGAACTCACTTCTCTGGAAGAAGAAAAATAGCCCTGTATATTGAAGGGCTGACAGTAATAGGTGAAACATACAAATTGTTCTCTTAGGAGCTCTAAAATGCTCCAAAATGCATATAGAAAAATTCCAAATGCAACATAATGTTTATGGATTACTGCCTTTGCAGCTATAATTTTCAAAAAGTAATATTTCTGACTGGCATGAATTCTACAAAACATATTTCAGAGATTAATATCAATGTTAATACCTTAAAATGCCTCCTTCTATGACATCATGATTGTTTTTCTCCTATTAATGCAAATTCTAGTGAAGAGAATTTTAGGATGTGCCATTTCAAAGCAAGGAAACTTTCACTGGGTTAAGCTGCTTATGTTTTCACTTTTCCCTTTATCCCATTTAAACATATTCTCCAACCTCCTCTAAAAAATAATTCAACCAATGCCAACTCAACAGATTATAGCAGATCTCCCATTAATTCTGCTTCAAAAGGAGCTTATCATTTTGGCTTAAAATTATGTATGCAGCCCTGTCAACTAATGTTTAGGATACTTCAAAACTTATTTTCATGCTGTTTATCATCAGTTAAAACATCTATCACATAATATCATCAGCTAAAGCATTTCTTTCCTGATGCTTAAAAAAAATAGACGTTGCTCTCAAATTCCTTTTTATTTTCTCTCATCCAAAAAGTTAATCGTGGAAACTCAGCTCACTTTAATCCTGCTTTGTGGCTTAGATTCTTTAGTCCTGGAACCACTCTTACTGATTTCTGTTATATCCATGCTAATGGAAAAATACTCTTTACTATGACAGAAAAATAATTCTGCACAGAAATGATATGCTTTTGATGCCTAACACTGTCAGGTGAATCATGGTAACAAGGATTCAAGACTGCTTCCCCAGACTTAAGAAATAATCTATAAAATTATGAGGATACAAATGTTGCTTTGCACTTGGCATTAAGAATATGCTTTTACAGAGGCAATAATTTATAGTGGTCCAGATCAAGACTGTTGGAATTCAAATCCCTGTTTCCACTTTGTAGTTTCTATAATCTTGAAGAACACATTTAACCACTCTGAGCATCATAAAATAAGCTTAATAATACCACTTACTTTGTAGGTTTGGCATGAGGATAAAGTTGGTAAAAACATGTAAAGTTACCATCTGGCACAGAATTACTGTTCAATAAGTGTTAGTGTTTAAAGTTATTAACTTGCAAAGGTACAACGTCCACTTATATAACTTTAGAAAGTTTTGTAAAATAAAAAGTCCTAGAAAAATCTAATTCTGTAAAATAGGTCAACATGAAATTACAGATAATGTTTTATATGTAAACATAAAAATTCAGGCTATATTCTTGCACGTAACTAGGTGCAGTTATAAAAATAAAAGTATATTTATCCTTTTCTTATCTGGAAAGTATGTTTCAGCAATTAAATTACTTTCTAGTGACTTCCATTATCACTGAACCTAAAGCTTGAATTGCTAACCCTTTCACTGAACTGTCTCACTCTATACCTAGCCTTAGCAGAATAATTCAATAAGAATTACTTAATGTCTGTTCTGTACAGAGAATACACAGAGAACAGTGTACCCAGATAACAGCACCTATCAGGCAGGATCAATTTCATAATTGTTCAGTTGGTCAAATTTATATTTTAGGTAATTGTTTCTTATCACTAAAGACAATCCATAGTGCCAATGAATTTCCAGAAAAAATTATGCTGTAAGTAACCAAACATGGATTTCATATGATTTACAAAAAGCTATCATAGGGGCTGGGGATTTAGCTCAGCGGCATAAGCGCCTGCCTTGCAAGCAGGCAGTTGAGAGCTCGATCCCGGGTACCGATAAAAAAAAAAAAGCTATCATAACTGACAAGTGCTGTGTTACCTGAATATTAATTCTAGAGGTCATAATCAATGGTCTTTTTCTGTCTTTGTCCCATGCCAAGACCAAAATAGCAGCTATATACTAATTGTACAGTTTAATGGGGGACTATTAAAAATATAAGTACAATTTGATTACACCCATATATAAAATATGATTTAAAAAAAAAGTTGTGCATGGTAGCACATGGCTATAATCCCAGCACTCCAGAGACTGAGTTGGGAGAACAGCTACAAGTTCAAGGCCAGCCTGGGTTACATAATAAACTCAAGGGCAGGCCTGAATATATAGTGAGACACTGCTTCAAAAATAAAAAGAATAAAGTAAGAGAAAAATAAAGAGGCAATAATGATTCTTTTAATATGATGCAATTACACTTTTCTTGTCATCTATTTTCTAATAATTTTTTATTTATTAAACTATTTTTATAGTAAGGAACTAAAGTTGCACAACTATAAAACTTGGATTAGGCATTAAATATTTTTTTATTTATGTATGTATTAGAAAAGAAATTCACAACATGGCATTTAATTCTGATTTTAATATCCATAAAATTAACCCTACAAAGATTTCTCAAAGAGGGCTGAAAGCCTTTAAAGTACATCTCCATTTCATATTGTACAATAGACTCCTAAATATGAAAAAATCATAAAATTAAGGGGATATATTGCACACCATCAACATTTTTAGTATTGTTTGAAAATCTATGATATTGAATAAATGAATCTGACTTCATTTTGTAGTCTTTATCTAAATGAATTCTTAAAAGATGTTTTTTTCTATTTTCTTTACATGTCCCTTTTTATCTCTAGATAAGAATTAAAAGCAATTGAAAACATAACATAATTCTATGATTCATTGATCACATATTCAAAGACACCCACAGAGAAATTTTATAGAAGTTTCCACACAACATTTATCTGGAATCAGATTATTTTAAATGATACTCTGACTTTTGAATTTGATACAGAAGCAATAACCAGGAATCACATCAGAATATTACAAATGAAGATATTCCAATACAAACACTTGTAGGATTTTGTTTAGATTGTCAATAGTCGACTCATCCAAATTTTCTTCATCATCATCCATGGTGTGCCAGACTTCAGGGAAAGGAGATGGTATCAAATGCAGAACTGGAACACCTAAAAAAAAGAACCAACTTGTAATTTGTGTATATTTCCATTGAGTAAACTAGAAATTGATAATCTTCAAATGGTAAGGTATAAAGCTATATAATGATTCAGCATCTCCTGTGTGCTTCTCTGTACCTTATCTGGTTCTCTAAGAGCATCCACTCATTAGAAAAATGATAACTAATTCAGCAAATAATTACAAAGCACCTACTACCTACCAGATACAATTCTAGGAATTGAAATTTCATTAGTGCAAAGGCCACGCTCTGCCCATACAGAGCTTACATTCCAATGGAGAAAGAAGCAAGTAAACACATTCATAACGTAATTTGGGGAAGCGATACAGCTAATTGAGAATAATAAAACAAGGTACAGGAGTAAAGGATGCAGGACAGGCAGCAGGGCTGACAGAGGTATTTAAAGTCAGGGAAGGCCTCCTTGAGAAGCCAATGTTTAAATTTAGATACGCCCAAGGGAAAACAAACCAGGCAAAGATCTAGTGATGAGCACAGCAGGTAGCAGAATTAGCCACGGGAAAGGTCCTGAGGCAGAGGTGCGTTTGTCCTCCTTGGGGACTAGCAAGGCAGCCAGGATGGCTGGACCAGAGCAAAGGTTAGAAAGAGAGGTAGGAGGCGGTACCGAGAGACAACAGAGGCAGAAAATGGAGGACACGACAGGCTGTGGTAAAGGTTGTTTATCTTATTCTGCAAGATCGCAAACCATTAGGACTTTAAAATAGTAACAATTTGATTTATATTTTTAAAAGATAACTCTCACTCTCTACAAAGAATAAAAAGAACAAAATGTGGAGACCAGTAGGGAAGCTACAGCAAGAGCCCTTGAGTTGATTTAGACTTCCGCCATCTCGTTCAAGGATATTGCTTCCTTATTGATCAAACATCACAGTTACACAAAGCACAAGAAAACAGTCTAACTCCATAAAGGATAGCAGAATATCAGTGCAGTATGGGCTTTAATAGATACATTAAGACCAGAAAAAAATAAAGGCCTCCTCAAAGATTTGGAAGAATTTTCATGAGAAAATAGAAACCATGAGATGGTTTTAATTTATCAATTAATTCAATTTAATGGTTCCTCACATTTGAGGAGTGTTATAAATCAAGGGGAGTAGGAACAGAACAGTACAGTGTTATACTTAGATACCTCCTACAACCTAAAAATGAATGTGTGTGAGATTTGGATGTGGACTGGGGAAAAAATCCCAAGTGAGGACAGCTCCCAGGAGTCTAATATGAAGAACAGGATAAACGGAAACTGTTCCCTGAGAAGGGCAAGAAAGGGAAAGGAACAATTACTTTCAGACTGGTCATTCCTTCCCACTAATAAGCAATGGCAGGTTCTGTCATTTCACTTGGTAACCACAAGAGTAACAGGTGCTAAAGTTTTACATTGTTTAATCTGAATCACACCTGGCATCAATAAAGATCAGGTGAGTGAACCTTTAATCTTTTTCTCTCTCATTTAATTTGGTTCAATCACCTGTTTTCTATCTTACAGGCTCATGATTAGAAGACACAAAGTCAAAGCTTAATTATATCATAACATATGTACTTCTTTTTTAATGATTGGTTGTCATTCAAATTAATTTTATTGACTATCTTTAGATGATTTAAAATACTTTTAGATTGGTTCAAATTATATTAATTTAGTGTAGTCAATCTTTAAGGAAGGATGGTTTAGTAATTCAAAATGTACCAATTATTATTCATGTTTAATTTGCTTCTCAAATGTTTGCAACAATTAGAGGCCTGGAAATTTCACAGCTAAAGCAAGTTGTCTGGTGACATCAGGAAGCTAAATAAGATTTCAGAATAAGGCATAGATGAAAATACTGATCTTGATCTACTTTTAAGTATATACATGACATACAGCAGCCTTTACATTTCAAGATGAACATAAAATACAATAGATAAAAAATGCACATGAACATGTATAGGTACATACACACATGTTACCTTTTCTTAAAAATGGAATATGGTCATCCTGAATAATGCCTCCAGAACCAAAATCCTGGAAATATTTCCTCTCCAAAGAGTGATCCTTGAGAAAACCCAATTCATGGAGTTCATGTTCTGCAGATAAAAATTAGACAGTGGATGAACATCTATTTTTTATCTGATGAAGACTCAGTATGCATCCTTATTTAAGAGAAATCTTAGCACATGTAGGCATCACTTTTTAAATATTATGCAGTATGTCCACGCTCATGACAATAAACACCTGAACTGAAGTTGGCATATCCATGTTGGAGCAGGAAAAGAGAAGATTCACACATGGCTCTTGCTTTATGCTGACAACTCCACAGAGGTAGAAATTCAACAGAAAAATGGAGAGAGAGAAAGTGAGAAATGGGCCTTGGAGAGGAATTCAGCTGTAGATGCTTGTAGGTCCAGATCCTGCATGAAGAAGGCTTAAACAGGAGATATGGGAAATACTCAATTAGCATAGGATGAAGGTTATTATGAGAAAAAGGGTACCTACTGTGACCTACATCAGTGCTTCCCAAAGTAAGGTTCTTAACCTGCAGCCTAAGCCACCACTCGGGATGCAAATTATCTGGCATCAACTCAGATCTACAGAGTCAAAAATCTGGAAAACCAGGGATCTCAGCCCTGCAGGAGATTCAGGTGCACACTGAAGTTTGAGAATCACAATCCTGCATCTATCATTCTTGTCATTTTGCAATATACATAACCCATACGTTACATGTAACCTCAGTGTTCCATGTTACAAGACGACAAAAGATGACAAGATTAGGATAGCTGTTTTGTTCTGTTGCTGTGCTAGGGATTGAATCCAGAGTTGCATGCATACAAAGCAAGCACCCTACCACTAAGCTATACCCCCAATGTGAAATTATTTTTTAATTACTAAATTTAAAAGTGAAAACTAGACTATCTAGTAAATAAGCATATGTAATAGAGTTTTAGGAATAGTGGAAAGCTGTAACCACCCTCAAAACAATATTCTTCTGTTTATTGATATTTGTAATTTTTATCATAGGATACAATTTTGCTTTGTTCATTTTAAATATCATTTGAAGTGTAAATATTCTGAGGGAGGGGAGTACAATGGGTTAAAATTGCAGTAAACTACAAGTTATTGATATATGTTCATTCCAGTACAAAAAAAATAAGAAAAGTGCACCCTTAAAGGAAGCAAAAGTCAATTTCTAAAGATTGCTATCAAAGTTAGGAAAACATGCTGCAAAAAAAAGCTCAAGATGTTTATGTTAATAATGCCATAATAGTAATTATTTTAAAGTAGAAATTAAAATTTGCAAAGATGAACATCTTAAGTTCAGGTTGAAGTTTCTGTCATATAAATTTATATCTGCATATTGGCAAATTCTTAATTCATGGCAAAGGTGTGAGCTAAAACAGCACAGTGTTTCCCACGGCTCAAAATATGACTCTCTTGCCCCACAAAGTGTATGTATCCTGGAAATTTCTAGTCAGAAGTTCCTGCCTCATAATCCAGATTCTACAATATTCATCTCACTTCCTTCTTTCCCTGATACCTCAGGGGTTTGTTTTATCTTCCACAGATACCTGTTTCTTGGCCTGGCCCAGTCTAGTCTAGCCTAGCCCACTCTATTTAACTCTAAATCTTCTTCCAAGTGGCTCTGTACAGATCTTTCTCTTGCCTCCTGGTTAATACACTGAGAAATTTAGAAGTGTAACTAAGCAACTCATCAGGGAGCCAGGGTCCCTACTTTATAAACATCCTCATCCTGTGCAAGAGGAGGCCAGGGAGATGTTGTGAGTGCTACACCTGCCCTGGAGAGTGGTAGCCTGCTTGCAGTAGAAGGGAGGGAAAAAGGCTTGATCCTCCACCCTTTTTTCCCTCTTGCTGCTTTTGCTGTCTTCTAAAATCTTGAAGTGTTGCCCCTGTGCCATGTCACGCTGCCTTGGAGCCAACTGATTATGGACTGAAACCTCCACAAACTGTGAGCTAAATAAACCCTTCCTTCCTTAATTTTGAGCACCAGGTATTTTATTTCAGCAGTGAAAGAAACCAAGACACCTCTTGATCTCTTACTTCTTTGAAAAATTTCTAGAGGTGGATTGTATTTCAAAGAAAATTGGGGCTGGGGATTTAGCTCAGTGGCATAAGCACCTGCCTGGCAAGTGCAAGGTCATGAGTTCCATTCCTGGTACCAGAAAAACAAAAAAAAAAAAAAAGAATATCTGGATAAGATAGAAAAAAGATAATCTAAGATGGAAAAGAAGATCTTTCTTATCTTAAAGATATTCTTTAAGAAAACTTAAAGAATATCTTTTGGTAGTTCTTGAAAAAGAAGTTAATACTCATACAAGTAGATTAATTTTGCATGTCTATATCTGGCAATCTAAGCAACTCTTTTGAAGATAACAATATGCAGTATTACAACCATTGTTAAATTCCTATCATCTTGTTTTGAAAGCCTATATTGTAATTGTTTTGAGTTTTTTTGTTGTTCTTGTAGTTGTGTGTATGTCTCTTGTTTTTTGTTTTTCTTTCCTGTGTTGTTTTTCTTTTCAAAATAAAATAATAATAATAAAAAGAATATCTTTTGGTGTTAGTAGTACACAACATTCATCATTAGTTAACATGCTTTGCTGGGTGAAGTCTTCCCTAGAAATCCATTCTCTATGTACCAGACAGTACCTTGGTAAAAATATTTGCACACTATTCCTAAGGATGTGCAAAGGTAAAATGTAATATTTTGTTTCCATTTCAAAATACAGTTTTATACAGAAAATAAATTGAGTCCACTAAAAGAGATAAATAAGACTAATAAGCTAATCAATAGGCCAATAAAAAAGGTAATAATGTATATAATATATTTAAATCACACATGCAAAAAAAAACCTTTTTGTTTGAATTTTAAAATGTACTATTTTTCAGCAGGAATAAGCCACATTTCATTCTGCAGAGACAGAGGTACTTACCAATTGCCTGAAGTCTATTAAACCATCTGGCAGTGTTTGGAAAAAAATTTGGAAATGTTGGATTTGGAGCTCCAAGTAAATCCAACAAGACCAGTAAATCCTAAAGCAGAAAAATATGGTTTAATCACAGTCACCGAAACATGTTTCATACTCATCAATAGTGCAGAATAATCAGTCAAAATTAATTGCATCTTAGTAATTGAGAATAATTTGGGGAGTTGTATAAAACATAAAAAGCTGACAATATTTTATGTTAATTATTTTAGGGAATTTTTGAAATCTTGTTTCGGCAATGTGAACAAAAGACAAGGTGATGATTTTTTGTGTATGCACTTCCTAAAAGACAGCACTAAGGATAAATTAGAAAGGGACAATTTGGATGCAAATTTATAGATTAAAGAATATTTTATTTTCAGATAGGAATCCAAGCCTGTCTGACTTTCTATTCATTGTAATCAGCCACTTTATCCCTAATATGTAATGATACAACTGTCTATAAAAGTAATTATTGTTCAAACCACTTACAAGAAAAATCCCTTGCAAATGGAATATATAATATTGTGTTCCTGTATCTCCATTTCATTGTGTATCAAATGAAGAGCCCAAACTAGCTAATCTCTAAGTCCTTTCTGGTTATAAACCCCTATAATTAAATCAGAATACCTTAATTTACCTGAGCCATAAAACATCAGCAAGCTTGAGAACTCCCTGCATAAACTCTCTAAATTAAAACCTCCTAATTAGAGCCAGTGATTTAGCTCAGTGGTACAAGCATCTGCTTGGCAAGTGCCAGATTGTGAGTTCGATCCCAGGTACAAACAAAAACCCTCCTGATTTATAGAAGTAAAATAATGTGTGGGTAAATGTCTATAAAAGATACCAACACACATTAGATAAATATTCTCAGGGTCTGTGATTTTAAAAAGATAGTATACATAAATTCATGAATGATAATTAAAGACATGCATTGTAAAAATAAAACAAGATTGTTTAAAATAGAAACATATGAATAATGTTGGATAAGCTATTAAAAGATTTTTATTTTTTTCCTTCTGGAGAAAAATGATCTTCACCACCACTGTGAATTCTTATATTTGAACAGATAAATAACTAACTTTGTTCCTACTACCGATCAATCAGTTGTCTCCTTCTCTGAACCTTTATACAAACCTGGGTACAGTGAATAGATGAGGTGCTGATCATACTTCCCTGACACATTTTGAGCTGCCAATGGACATACGGAGTAAACTACCAACATAAAATGTGCCAGATAAAAACAAAGGATATCCAATGTGACCAGCTGGACTTATACAGGGAAGGTCACTAATATGAAAAGGTCACAGATGAGAAGTAGGGTGTTAACTGTAAATGTTTGCTTTACAGATGGGGTGAGGGTCGGGGATGGATGAACACTGGGGAAGAATAAAGCATTAAGGGAAGCAGGAAGTTCCAGGGTGAGGTTAGTGAGGATTGGAGACAGAGTAAAAATCAAAAACGGGATAAGAAACAGAGTAAGGAGAGGGTTCACAGGCGGGCTGAGGGATTAGGGATGGGTTGTTGGTCCAGGAATAGGGATGAAAATGAGGCTCTGTGTTGCACACATTACTCAATAGCAGTGTCTTAGGGTAGTGTCAAAATGAACCCACACCCATGTCAAATATTCTATAACAAACCAGCAGATCAAAATATCATATACGGGGCTGGAGATTTAGCTCAGCGGCATAAGCACCTGCCTTGGAAGCAGGCGGTCGTGAGTTCAATCCCTGGTACCCATAAAAATGAAAAAGACAAAAAAAAAATCATATGCACACTGGAGCCACTATAGGACTTTGACAGTGAGAAAATGCCTGGCTCCTACCCTGTTCTTTCTGCATTTCCCAGGACCCCAGACTCCTCTGTCTTTAAAGGCTTCGAGGAAGGGATTTGCTCTCTCTGCCTCCATCAGGTACTTAGGGAATGTGCTTCCAACAAAACAAACTATTAGTTCCTTAATCCAATTCTTTTAACATCATTTCAATTAAGCTTAGCCAAACATAGCTTTTAACCCAGAATTGTTCTTTGTAGCTCTGGGATTCCTCAAAAACCTAAAGCCTGCCAAAGAATGTTCTACTGTAAACACTCTGCTCCGAAGATTTTCAGGCACTTCTGGGTCTTCACTTGGCTTTGGCAGCCTCTCCTATGAAGGCAGCACCAGGGAAACTTCCCGCACTAACCATGCCGTGAAGTTGATTGGTGCCTCTTGCTCCAGGTGGGTGCGGAGTTGATGCCATTTTCAAGGCTAAGTGTCGAGACCCGTACAGAGAATCTTGAGGAGACCAGTGAAACAATGCCTCTTCCCCATCAAAGAAAATTAGCTTGAGTGACAAATCTGGCCTGCGATCTGATATATTCTGGTAAGAAAAAATAATAATAATAATAATAAACAAGAGCAAAACGCTGTAATGATTTAAAAACAAGTACTTTCCTACAAACTGGGCAAAAAGATGTACCATAAAGAAAAAAAAAGATACCAAAGCAAGCAAGTGAAACTATGCCAAAATTTATTTCACACCACATCCTCTGAAAATTGTCACACCTCCCATAATCTTCACCCATATAAATCTCACCTGTCTCCACTTCCTCTGAAAATAGAAATCTTTATCTGTTTCTACTTCCCAGAAAAACTGAAAACAATGGAACTGCTATGATGAACACTGTAACATGCCTCCCATTTAGGAGGATGGATTGGTCCAGAAACACCTCAGTTGCCCTTCCTGGGAGTGTCCTACATCCTGTGTTTGACCTATACAGGTGCTGGGAATCTCTAAAGGCCACTGCATCTCCAGAGGTTTCCGGAAGTTGGTCGAGACTGTCGTTGAACCTGCACTACATCTCCACTTCGCTCTGCCTAATCCCATCTGTTTCTCCTCCCTGCCTCTAGCTCTGATCCAAAGACACTCCCTACTAAATGATCTGAATGCTAACCTCCCCAGCAAAATCTGCTTCCTGGGAAGCCCAAGCTGAACTATCTGCACATCTTTCTTACCTCTCACCATATTTAAATCTGAAAGTCTTTGTTTGAGAATAAGAACAAAATCTGTCCTAAGAATGCTACAGGGATGCTAAGAAGAGTAACTGTAGCCTTTCCTTTGAATAAGCTTACACTTAAGTTGGATTAGTAAAGATAAAACAAATACATGAGCATGGAAAAATGTGTCAAGGGCCACAAATGATACAAGTTCACTGGAGATTGGACAGAATGAGAGTTGAATTCCTTGGGGGAATCAAGGAAGGCTTATGGAAAGGATAGTATTTGAGCAGAACTGAGAAGGAACAGAATTATAATTAATTTCACACTTTCCACTGTCTGGCGATAGCTCTCATGTTTCATATGACTCCTTAGGATACCACCACCTTCCCAATCCATGATAGCTGAAGAGCCTAAAATAAATCCCTAACACAAAGCTACTCAAAATATATCTATAAAAATACATTTAATGGGGCTGGGGATTTAGCTCAGCAGCATAAGCGCTTGCCTTGCAAGTGTGTGGTTGTGAGTTCGATCCCTGGTACCAATAAAAAAGAAAAGATAAAAAAAAAAAGAATAGATTTAATACTCTCCAAATCTGCATTCAAAATTAGTCCTATTAAAAATGTGGGGCCTCAGACACAGGTCAGCAGCATAAGCGCCTGCCTGTCAAGCACAGGATCCTAAGTTCAATTCCTGGTACTAAAAGAAGAAAAAAAACATTGGTCTACCTCATTCTTTATCTCTAGGATAAAAGGTAAGAGAATGGATATACTGACTCAAAAATTTTAATGAGGCTTCCCCACCCAACAAGTCATTTAGCCCTTTCTATTTCTGATCACCAAAAGCAGGAGTAAGCCATATGGGAATAAAACAATTCACCCACCCAAGAAACTCACCCACTGCACAAAACCATGCCTTTTAAATTATACTTCATTTCACTGCCTGTCCTTGTACTAGAAATGCAAAAATCACTGCATCCATCGTATCAGCTTTCAAAGTCCCTCTCCCAATTGCTGGGGAAAGATGCATGTGAAAAGCAGGGGAGGGATGGGACAAGGCACACTGAGAGATTCAGAAAACAAAAACAAAATGAAAAAAAAAGTGAAAAGTATCCTGAGAGCACATAAACAATTCTTGCTTTCTTCAAGTTCAGCATATCCAGCAAAAACAGAACAAAATATGCCTATTACTTTCATTATGAGATAAACTTTTTCTGCTTTACCCTTTTTATCAAAAGCTGGACCCTTCAATAAAACTCTAAGAGGGAAAAAAGGCCTTGATTGCCTGTGAGCAAAGTTTTTGTTTTTGCTATGTCGTGTTTATTTGATTATGAGTGATATCAGAACAAAACGTCTTCATCTAGTTTAGCACTTTTTTCCGATATACCCCCAAGAACACAGAGACTGAAATAACATCTGAGAGTCCCCAAAGTATTTTGAACTGAGAGCATAACAAAAGCTCTGCTATGCTACATAAAATTGAGCCAAGATTCACAGATAATAACAATAATGCGTTTCTGCTTCGTGCTTTTCATCTTGATGCGTCTGAATTACCCACTCTCTCTTTAGAACCCCTTTCCTGCAGCTCCCCCCCTCCAACGCAAGAGCCACATCTCAGATCAGAAGTCTGTGATGTCTCATGGCTGCGGAAACAAGAAAGAAATAAACATAGCTCATTCTAAAACGTAGCTCTCAAACTTAAACCTATACCAACTTCCTCCTTTTTCATTATTCGCCAAGAAATGTTGCATTTAATTTAATCCATATCCAACACGGAGAAATTAGATCCCAATTAATAAGTGCACTGGCATGTATTAGGTATACAGCTCATGGTGACATTTTAAATGATGCAACCTTCCAATTAATATTTCTTCAACTTCGTAACTTTTGTAACAGATTACAAAAATGCCTCAAAAGGTTTCCATTTCCAAGCGGCATTCTCATTCCCCCAAGGATTTCGGAATTCATTCCGAGTTGCTGCTAATGTATTTTATTCTAGGAGTCAATGAAAGGAAAGCAGATACCTTCAAGGAGAGGAGTTGCTGGTCTAAAGCACGAGCAAGTTCCAACATCATGGCACACGGCACAGCTGAGTCAGTGGCTCCCACAAACATCCTGTTGTTCCAGTGAGGAAAATATTTGGAGTCATAGTGGCAGGCGAGGACCAAGTGTCGTTTGGCAGTGGGGTTAAGGGTACTGATGATATTTGAAAAAGATCGGTACCCATAGGGTGTCCTGCTCAAGAAAGTGTCTACTTCCAAGACCCAGTCAGCCTGAAGTCTCTGAATTCGCTGCATGATGTGCTGATCAAAACATAAACCAAAATTTCATATATACACAGTTTTTATTTAGCTATGTATTTAAAATTGTACACAAGATCTTTCAAGTTAAAGTTATAGTACATGCTTACTATACTTATTAATAAGGATAATATTGTTATAATTTCTATTATACTTAATAGCAACTTGCCTATTTAAAGGAAAAGCAATCTTCTAATTCCTCCCTACTAATTAATCCCAGCTAATTGTTAAATATCAACCAATATTATTAGATGGATATAGACCCATCACATTTCTTTCTTTTTACAAGTCTATACTAACATATAAACACACATATCTACAAAAGAGGATGTGTTTTTTATAAGAAAAGAATCCTAATTTACATGCTATTCTGCCCCTTGATATTCTTACTGAACAATGCATCACAGACATATCGAAAGTCAGATGACAGAAATCCAGGTCTACTTTTAATATTTTTAGGAGGCCAAGAAAACATGTTTGAGAAACCAGAATCCCACACATGTCTACTCTAAGATGTTCAAAGGTAATAATAGCAAAATATAGATCTTTTTGTCCCAAAGGTACAGCAAGTATCCCCAGGTCCAGCAAATGCTACATAAGTAATGAACACCAACAAGATATTGACACCACCTGCCAAGGGCTATGGAGAAAGACTCCACAACAAAAGAATGGATATAAAAAGCTTTCTATATGTCTGTAAGGCAGGCCCAGATCCACTGACAATGTTGGTAGAAATATAAAACAATCTCTTTGCACTCTTTTCTAACCACTTAGGTTTCATGGGAAACACAAGGACTAATGGGAAGGAACAGTAGGTAGAAAAAGAACGTCAAGGACTGGAAGCATCTTCCTTAAAAACCTGAAATTTGAGTCAAGTAAGGAGGTGCATGTGTGTAATGCCAGCACTCAGGAAGCTGAGGCAGGAGGTTTGCTAATTAGAGGCCAGGCTGGGGTACACAGCATGACTCTGTCTCAAAAAAAAGGAAAGAAAAGGAGAAAGAAGATGGAGAAAGAGAAGAAATTATGAGCTCATTGCTCTTTTCAATCCTTACTTTCTCTTGGCCACATTTTTCTCACTATATCTCTCCCCAAAAACTATCTTTGTAAATTGCCTTCATTGAAAACTCAAAAAACAAACTAACCTTCACAATAAGTAGCAATTGGTCCCACAATTAGCATCCAGTAGGGATGGACCTTGAGATGATAAACAATAACTTACAAACAACTGGAAACAAGTGGGAAATATTTTTTTCCCTAGGAAATACAGAATTTTCTATCCTGGACAAGACTGTCGTGGTTTACTGTTTGCTAATGTGACATGACACGTAGGCAAGGACCTTGGAAAAACTGTAGCAGGAAGTTTGCAGGGAGAGAGGACCTTGCGGGTAGGGTAGCACTGATTTACAGTCAGCCTTGATGATGCCAAGTAAACTGATGACCTCCCCGCCACTTGTTCATTCTTTGTTTTAGTTTATGTTTATTAGTACATGTTTTATTGCATAACAATTATGTACATTGTAGAGAGCTGCAATACACATATAACACATTTTAATCACTCTTGCTTTCCCTTACTAACCGCTCTCTCTTCATCCCTCCACCCCGGTTCCTCTTCCTATCTGCCATTCTTTGCTTTTGGTTCAAGACAAACTTTGGCCTAAAAAGCATTGTGTGTGCTTGTACCTCATCTTCTCTATTATAACCTTACATGTTGTCTTTTCATGTCCTCAAAATACATGTTTGCAACCTTTTACAAAATCAACATTCATATCTCACCTAACATGTAGTTCTCCATAATTCTTTGCACAGTGCTTGGCTCATAGCAGGCTTTCAGTAAATATGGATTGATGCAATAATATATGTAAAATTATGTGACACGGAACTTTAGTTGCTTGAACAGAGAGAAATCACTGTGCATCTAAGACAAGCTTTCCCAAAGACTATGACAATGCAACTTCACACTGATTTCCTTAATTGTGGGCTCTCAAAGTCCCTACACATTGTAAAATAAATAAATAAATTTTAAAAAAGAAAAGGGATAATCTTTTTTAAAAAGCATATACTCCAGAACATCTGGTACCCAGATGATAAACAGTTCCATAAAATGCGGTGTCCAACACCAATAGTAGCCTGAAAATAAGCTGGTATTTTAGAAAATGCATCTGTTAGCACTGCCCAGAGGCATCACACACACATTCGTTCCCCAACCACTAAGCGGGTCTTGACCATTATTTCTGATGTCCACATGGACATTAAACTCCACAAAAAAATCAGCAAATGCTGCCAAAAGCGTTCTCCCTGGAGTAACCTTTCTGTATTCAGTATAAGTACTGTATTTTTATTTATCTTAGCAACCAAGATAAATAATCATTACAAACAATTAAACTGGCTTCAAAGTCGAGTTAGGTCGCCAATACTTGTTTTGCTTTTGGCTTTCAGATTTAGTCTTGCAAGTTCCCACTGCAAGTCTCTAGAGGAAACTCCCCAAACCACTGCTTTTACTGCTAGGATATGGCTGAGGTCTAACACAACTGTGTTCCCCTAACTTGAAGAGACAAAAGCTGGGCCCTTTAGGCCTGATAAGGAGGGAGATAGGACACTATTACATGCTATTCTACTTCCCAGGGGGGAGTCTGAGGGGGGAGTGCTCCAGGTTAGCATTAGTGGGTGATCCTGGATATAACAATTAAAATCCTAATTTTCAGATTTAGAGAAGCAGTGACATCAACGGACCACAGTTATATGGAGAGGAAGTAGATCCTTGGTATTTGCACAAAGCCTGCAAATACACTGTTGTCAGGATGTTGACCCCTGTCACACGGACTTCTGCGACATCTAGGATGATACCACAAGGAGAAGGGGCTTTAAGCTGAGGGCACCCCACACGGGGTTCTCCACTCTGGAGGACCCCTGGCCTGGAAGTATACCCTGGAACATACACATCTTTCACTCAACAAATCCCCTTTTGGCTCCTCAGATGCATTTGTAGACAAAGGATGTTGTTTGTCCCGTCAAAAAAGACTTTGTAAAGCTAATTTAAATTTATTTTTTAATCTTATCATAGAAATCACTGAAATGCTCCCTAAATGTAATGCTTTCGTATTATTTATAAGTTATGACCTCAGATAAAAATATTTTAATAATCTAATAGTAATGTAGATTGCAAGCTATGATTCCTCCAAATATTCCTTTTCTGAAAGAGAATTCATAAGAATGTACAGCTTTACTGCAAAAGTTAATTCCTTTAACAATTTTATATCAGATTCACAGTATTTTTAGAATTGAAAGTCTTATCTAAGTATAATCCTGTCACCTTATGAATTATAGAACATCTGATCTAGTTCTTCGAAAGGCCTTCGGAGAATAGTTGCTATCATTCTTTCTTAAATTCAGTTCTGAGTAAAAGGCTCAGAACTATTAGTAAAAGAAAGGCCATTAGGGTACCTTCCTATAACTCTGTCATTACTTCATTGTCAAAAGAGGAAATCTTTTGTCTTCCACAACGTAGGAGACCGGTCTCTAAAATTTAGCCATGAGTTTCTTAAAAATGTACAGAACTGCCAGGCACGGTGATGCATACCTGTAATGCCAGCACTTGGGAACTTGAGACGAAAGGATCATGAGTTTGAGGGCAGCCTGGACTATAAAGTGAGTTCAAGGCCAGCCTGTACCTGTCTTAACCCTCCGCCTCGTTCCCATCACAAACTAAAATGCTGTCAATTAATTTCTCCTTTGTCTCCAGCCCCACAGGAACAGTAGAAAATGTTATCGTGGATCCAGCAATGCTTTTACATAAATGTGTAATCTTTTACATAAATATGCTATGCTTGTTAGCACAACAGTATCTATGTGTACTATGGACACTACATGTTCTGTGAAGCCAGAGCTTCAACACTGTTTCTTGTGTTTACGGGCTTTGCAAGCTCACAGTCAAGGAAATCAGGCTAAAGTTGCCTATGTTTCTGCTTATAGATGGCAGAAGAGCAAACGGTATGGGAAAATGAAAATGTCTCAGTCTCATGGGCCAAGCGTCATAGATTTTCTAAAGAATGAGGAATTGAGAATTTTGGATAGGGCCAGTAAATGCTACGGTCCTCATTTAACAGATTTTTGAGGCGATAAGGCCCCAAGAATCTGGAAGAAACACACCTCACCGGAAGCACAGAAACCAACGTGGGCACAAAAAGACCAGAGCTACGTAAGAGCACTGCCTCCCCTGGACAAGGAATGGCACAGATTTGGATCCATATATGGCCTTATCACTAGTCCTCACTTAGCTGTCAGCAAATAAATTCAGGAACCTAAACCTCGGGTGTTTTTTTTTAATTCATGACATTTGAATAATAATAGCACACACCTAATGTTGTTATGAACACTGGCTGAGATGTAAAAGTGATCCATAAAAATCAGCCATCATCATTAGCGTCCCCAGTACATCTGAAGGTTAAAAAGAGCTACAGGCTTTTTAGGCACAGAAATCATAAGTTAGGCAGGAAGGAAAAGCCCAAAAGCTGTCTAGACAGGTGGGCCTTGCAGGTCTCTCTGGGCACAGAGATGGGTGCCAAGTACTTCTGCCTGAAAAGCTGGGCGGATGGTGTGGTCACAGAGGAGGATTTAAGGAACCAGCCAATTCCTGCCCAAGCTATCCCTTGAAATGGGATGGTCTGAAAAAGCAGATATTCAGAGGTAGGATTTCAGGTTGCTGAGAAACATCTAACACTAAGGACCCAAAGAGAAATTCAAAGTCAAGTCCAGTTATGAGTCATTCATATTACCCTCCACTAGCAATGTCTTTCAAATGGCAGTGGTAAAATCAGTAGGTCTTGAAATCAGTTTAGGAGGTCTTTGTTGGCATTTTGAAAAACCAGCAAAATAAAATTAACAATATTGAAGTAAATTACAGGTAATAAGAATGAGGCTCTTTCATAATTTTTTTCAGTTAAACATATTTGTATGCTTACATATATTTATTGTAGATCAGAGGCAGAAATTTGAGAAATCTGTTCTGCAGAAAATACTTTACCCCTTGCTCCTCAGGGCACAAAACAACTTCTCTCTGGGAATGATGAAGGCTGACAGTACAGTGACCCACTCCTAGCCCAGAACTACCAGCAAGAGCTGTCGGAAGCTGTAGATGTCAGGCTTTTAGGAACCAAGAAACTAGGTTAGGAGACAGAGTGGAATGTTATTAAAATGGTCAAGAGATGAGGATTTAGTACCATGTCCAATGCTGTACCTTAGACAGAGATTTCACACACAAACCTGTCCAGATTAACAGGTATCACTTGATTTATTTTCAGTCACTGGACTTTCTTCATTGTTCATGATGGTGAGTAACAAGATGACTGATCAAATATTAGACAACTCAGAACTTCAGCCATAGCATTATTCCTTGTGGAAAAGCAAAGTATTTATTCCACACGCTCTAGACTGGCTGCTGGGTTCTCACCTGACGGGCAGCATAGCTTCCAGGGGATCCTGGATATCGCTCTATCAGTAACGGTCGTAGGTCATTTTGCCACATTTCCAGAATACGGGTGCTTTCTACAACTTGCCGAAGAGAAGAGGAATTCAGAATGGCGGGTTGGTGATGATTCTGAGGATTAAAGAAAATTGTTTAATTGTCTATAATTTTATATGTTTAAGACTTATCCCGGCCCATTGGTATTGATAGCTTTAAACCTCAAAGGATCATTTTTATGTCCTATGAGATATATTAAACTATTCAACTATATAATTGGCCTGTTCCACATAGGAAATTAAACAAATAATTTGACAGCTTATTTTAAAAACAAAATTAACAGAATGCTTTCAATCCAGAATTAGTATTTCACAGTAATGACTTTTCTGAACACTCATTTTGTATAAGTAGGGTTTAATAATATTAATTATGGTCCCTAGTTTTAAGAAAACCCAATATTTCAAAAACTACAGCTAAGAAAACAATATATTTTGTTAGCATCACAGCTTTTAAAAGGCACAGTAGTATTTAAAACAAGCATTATCATGTAGTCCAAGAAACTGGCTTCAAAGCTCTGGCTGCCAGTTACAAGTTGAGTTAGCCTCATTAAGTCTCTTCATATCTCATTTCCCTAGAAAAACTAAGAAAGGAATTTGCTTTAAATCTATGCTATTCAATATGGTGGCCACTGGCTACACACAACTATTCAAGGTGTGAAATGTAGTTAGTAAAGCTGAAATATACTTCAAGTGTATTATACACACTGAATTTTGAAGATTATGAAAAAGTATTGATTTTTATAATGATTATATGTTGAAACAAGTCTTTGATATACAGGGTTAAATATATTATTGAAAGTTATTTCATCTTTTTGTTTTTTTAAATGTAGCTGCTAAAAAATTTAGAACATATCCATATTTCCTTTTCTATTTATATCAGACAGCACTGAATCACATGATTGTTATCTTGCCTTTCAACCTCAGCTTGATGATTGTTTAACCTGTTAAACAGTCAGTTTAAAAATCTTCAGGTAAATATTATTCTAATATTTTATTCATGCTCACACTCTCCAGTAAACTTATATATTAATGTGAAGCTTAAAAAGCTAAGTCAACTTAACATTAAAATCTGTATCTTCAGCTGGATGTCATGATGCCCACCAGCAAGCCCAGCATTTTGGAAATTCAGACAGGAGGATTTCAAGTTCAAGGCCAGCCATGGACTACATGGTGAGACTTTGTCATATTGCATCTTCAATATGACTTTTTACAAATTTCTGTTTTCTTATTATGTGAATAATAATGAAATATTCATTCATTACATATGATTGGTCCGATGACTTCTCCCCTAAGGGGAATAATAATAATGAGTATGGAGTTCTTTGGAATATAAAGTGAGGGTGCTATATCTATCTTATGGGTCCTTCTGAGATCAGTGTTGGCTAGACATGTTTAAAGACTCATGAAAATTAGTTTAACACTATATTGACTCCTTGAGGCTGGTGAGAACTGTGAAATTAGAGGATGCTTATTGTCTAATTATTTATATTCTGCTGCACCTTGAGATGGCCCAGTGTTAACCTTCAGAATTGATGATGTTAGGTGCACTGACTGTTGGGATCAGACAGACCCTCTCTTCTCAACATGTAACTCAGCACCTCCACTCTCTAGCTGTAATTCTAGCCAGGTTGCTCATTCTCGTTATGACTCATGCATAAAATGGAGATGGTAACACCTACATCCTAGACTGATCAGAATTAAGTGAGCTGATACATGTGAACTGCCAAAATAAATATTCAATGTCGTAGTTCTATTATTCTTTCAATCAAACGCTAGGAGGTTCTAAGGAAGTACAGAATGATACAGCTAGAAAACCCACCTAAAATGAGCCCTACCTCCTTGATATGTATCAGTGGAAACTGAGGCTCATAGAAACAGGTGGTTCCCCAAAGCTGTGGAAGAGTTGTATAAGTCCATAAAAAGGTCCCAATCCCATGCTCTGCCTCATTCATTCGCTTCCAACTTACTGCTGAATACTGATGCTGAGCCTGAGTATTTTAAAGTTTCTGCTTCTCCACTGGTAACACATTTTAAAGTTTATTTCCTTATTGATTTGTCACTATACCCTTTAGATTCCTTATACCTCCGAGGTCTAAACCCTCATTTAGGTGTCCAACAGCACTTGAAGAAAAAATCTGAATAAAAGACAAAGTATCAGAAATGTGAGATGGACAAAGAAGAAAATGGACTTCAGAGCTCAGTGGACTTTCATGTTATTACTTAACCACCGGCAGGAGTCCGTTTTCTGTCTTACTGGCTCATCGCTCCACAGTGCCACTGCCCTGCTCACCAAGCCTTCGACACCCTGGCATCTGTTCATGCCCCAAAGCACTCGAAGCCCTAGTCCCCTGGAATCAGCAGTGCCCTCAGCCTCACAAGTCATTTTCTCTCCTGTCCACCTGACCAACTCCAGCCTGCTTCTGACTGCAGGATAGAGGTCACTTGCGTGTTTACTTGTTTCATGGCAGGATTTCATGTGAGCTGCCAGGTGCGTGACAGCTAGAGCTCTCTCTTACTTACCCCTCTCTCCACAAACCACACAGGGCCTGATTCAAACTGATATTCAATACGTATTGGTCAAATTCATCAAAGAAATCAACAGATGGACTGTCTTTCTGAAACTTAGTTAAGACTGTCTACATAATAATAGAGTAAAATTTGCACCTTTGCACCTTTGCAGTCATAAATACCAAACCAATTAAATGCAGAAGCAAATATAAAGATAGAAAAGACCTGCAGGAGGGGCCAGGAACTGCCATCGTTTATGACTAGTGGGCTTTGTTCTTTGTGAATTTCTGACACTCAGTGCTTCTGATAGTCTGACACAGGACTGGCCCAGGACAGTCATCATGACAATTAAAAACTGTGGGTCAGGATGGCACACCAGAGGATCACTGTGAGTTCCAGGCAAGCCTGGTTACATAGTGAGTTCACAGCCAGCCTGAACTGTACAGTGAGACTCTCAAAAAACAAACCAAAAAATACAATTAAATGTAATTTAACTTTAAAAGAAAGAAAAAAAAAAAAGAAAACTGGCTCAAAGACCATTTGAGCAGTGAAGCCTTTCTATGTACTGTCCACTACTCTGTCCAGGAGCCTTCCTGCTCACTGTGGGAAAGGTCCTTCGTTTCAGGTCCACGGTAATAAGAAACTGAGTTCATGTTAAATGAGAGATGTGCAGAGGCTCACAATAGTTCTTCAGATATTAAACAAAAATCAGGAACAACATAAATATTCCTCCAACTGTAAGAGATATTGCAATGAAACTTAGTGGGCAACACCACCACAAAAATCCTTAATGGATGATAATAAGTTTAGCAAACGGCCCTATGGATGTTCATGAATACAGAGACTTCATTTCATTTATTTTATCATTGCTATTTCCGCAGTGCTGGTGATCAAACTCAGGGACCTGCCAGCTCAGTAAAGGAGAGAGAAGGCAAAACAGCTACATTCAGTTAATTACTTAAGCTCTGCTACTTATTGAAGCACTCTATGGCATTTGATTTTCCCAATATAAATCGCATGCATTCAATTATTAATGAGTCTTACTCTTAGAATCTACCATATATATATATATATATATATTTTTTTTTTTTTTTAAGATGAAAAGCTGAGTGTGGTGGCACATGCCAGTAATCCCAGCACTTGGGAGGCGGAGGTAGGAGGATCCTTTCAAGTTTGAGACTATCATGGGCTACAAAGTGAGCAAAAGACTAGCCAGAACTACGCAGTGAGACCCTAACTCAAAGACAAAAGAGTAAAAGAGACAGAGAGAGAGAGAGAGAAGAAAAGGATATATGGAAGAGAAACCTGGGAAGGAAAGCTGGGCTCAGCGAGATGACAGACAGAAACTGAGGGGCAAATTGTTACATCCAAAGGGAAATGCAAACCCCAAGTTACTCTAGGTTTGTTTCAGTTCAAAGGCCCTTGGATGATTTCTATTGGTGCAGGTGTTCTCAGAAGAATGAGGCTCTGTTAGAGTTCTGGCCTTGTCTTTTCATTCAGGCAGAAAGGACGATAAGTCTGTTCTGGGTGACAAGAATCTTTCAGCTAAAAAAATGTGAACTAGATAGCCTGAAGTATCTCCTGTTGGCTAATCACATGGTGCCAAGTTAGAGAGGGGTTTAATTAACATAATCTGTAGAACTGGCCCAGCATGCAAAGGGAGTTGAGGCTCCAAACCACTGAATTAGAGATCATTGCAGCAGTGCAGCCAATTCAAGTTGCTCTCCTACGTGAGCATTCCAGACAGCCCTCAGAGTAGCACTTCTGTCTACCTGCAAATTCAATTTAACCAGCATTTATGGAAATCCTTCTGTGTCAGATGCTGCTGACATTACAGATGCAGCTGGAAAAGACTGGAGAATTGAATAAGATAATGTCTGCCTTTTTAAAATGCAAGTAGCCCTTCTTAAAAATCAAACCAGAGTAGTCTTTAAACACAACAACTTAGGGTCAAATCTCAGCTCCCTCGTCTATCAGCTATACCTAAGAAAATGTTCCTAATGTGTGAAATGGGTGTCATAGTTCTCACTTGCCAGATGCTAAAGGCTTCAAAATGATACGTTTTGTCTTTGTCTCTCTGTCAGCACCAGGCCCACCAATGACCTCTCTTTGCTTCCAGAAAAATCATGCAAGTAACAGAGTGAATGGCTAAGGATTTGGAACTGTGGAGGAGGCAAGCCCTAAAGATTTTCAGACTATATGTGGTTCTAGAAGCCAGAGAATATGAAACACTGAAGACAGCAGTTAACCTCTGTCAGAGTCCATCCTGAAAAAGGGTTCCTCTCCTGCATGTGGTTTCTCCAGAAACTGCCCCTCCACCACCATACCACTTGAACATTTGTATTTCAGCTTTGTTACAGTGAAGGAAAATTCTACCAACTAAAATCACTGGGGGCCAGCTTTATCACAGTGAATGCTTGCAAAACACCTTAAATATTCAGGACTAAAGAAATAGTTGAATTATAGAATGATGATTTTGCAATAATCAAATGGCACTGCCAATATGTTTTATTGGCTTACGGTAAGATTCATAGTACACTATTAAGCTCCTTGGCAAGATCTAAAATCATATTTGAAGTACAATCTGCAGGAGGAAATATTCATGTATATCTATTTTAATATAATTAAAATGTATTGAGCCTTTATCTTAAGCCAGCCCCTGTGTTTTACAGGGATTAACTCACTCATTCTTCACAAAAACCCTGAGATTATAAGAGAGTGAATACATGTGTGTGTGTGAGTCACAGAGACACAGAGACACAGAGAGAAAGAGACTAGCAACAGAAATACGAGAAAAACTAATTATAGTGTGTCTCAAGCACAGACTTATGGGTGAAATTTGATTTCTTTTTCAGGGTAATTTTCTAAAATGAGCACATGTGGACTTTATAAGAGACTCTAAAAGAAGCCGCTTAGTTTACTGGAGCTAATATTCTTTTAAAAATTAAGAACACCTTTCAAAAGCCAAGAGTCCTTCACACCTAAGTAAGAGCTAAGTAACGAGAATCCTTTCAATAGTACATTATTTAGGATAATGTACTGGAAGAATGACCCTGTACCAAAGGAATGTGGTTGAGGTTTGGGATGGGGGCAAGATTCAAAAGAAGTAGTTTTGAGTATATGGATCAATCCCCAGAATAATGGTGACCATTAAGCTGTATGAGGGAAATCAAGGAAAGGGGAATATAGGGGAGGGGTTAGGGAAGCAAAGGAACCAAAAACAAAGTTCCTGTTGTGGGTACCACTTAGTGTGCGCCCTGACCCAGGAAGGGAAGGCGAGCCCTCCCTGTGCCCCTCCAAACTGCACTCTGGCTCCACACTCTTGCACTATTTGGGCACTGTTTTTGTCCATCAGCTAGGACTTACCTTCCTTAAAAAAGAGAGTGAAGAGGAAAAATCAAGGCTTAAGCCAAATCCTGGCTCTTCAACTCAGTGGTATGATAGTGGTCATGTTTCCTCATCTATAAACTGGAGACAACTACACCCTCCTCACAGGAAGGTGTAGGATCACTAGGAAGTTCAAGTGATCTTGTAAATATAAACATAGTTAGGATTGGTCTGCTTTTACATGTTAGACACCAATGAAAGAGACACTCCTTTATTTCAAAACAAAATAAACAAATTTCAAAATTGGTACCTTCTTTACCACACCTTTCCTATTGGCAGAAGATGCTGCTGTTGCCCAAAGCTTGATAAAGGCCTGCCAAACATTTATGGGGAGAGAGAGCTAGAAATATGGAATGCCCTGGCTGATTACCATTCACTGATCCCCTTTGTCTCATTTGTTTACGCCATTTGAAAGTATCCAGTTTCCAATGGAAGAGTGTTTGGAAGCTTCTTAAACAATAGAATAGTGATTCGCGCTTTAAAGTATACGTTTTAAAAATTAAATTCTCATTAGTTTAAAATATTTTAACAATGGTAGCATCTTCTCCCAGCTTCAAATACCCTCGGCCTACGCATATCAACCAATGATTCTCTTAGGGTGCCTCCTTTGGACAGTTTCCATCTCGTTACTCCATCCACTTAGATGTGTCTTAAAGACACCCTTGGTGTAGGCACCACATTCTAATTTGTAGTATCTCTTTCCCAGTGTCTGAGCACGAAGCTATTCCCACAGGGTGAAGAGCACGTACTTCAGTGTTATTCTTCATGGGCACTCTTCTACTGGACTCCATGCAAAGTTTCTCTTATGGCGAGGTGACTGGAGTGGACTGCACACCCCACCAGGCTCCAAGGGGGATGGTTTCCCCGTAAGTGGGAGCCTGTTGTGGGCTCCAGTGTAAAGCTGATTAAGCCTTATTCCCAGAACTGGACTGAACTATTCGTGTGTGTGTATTCCTGTGATGGACAAAAGGTGAATAGTCACCAGTATATCCTGTGTAGGGCTGAGTAATCAGAAGCACGCTGAAGTCATTTAAATGCAATATGTATATGTAACTGCTCCCCACAATAAATATATCCATCACCTATTTAAAACATGCATTAATAAAGAAATCATTTTTAAATTATGAAGAAAAAGCTGGAGATATAGCGGTATAAGAGTCTGCCTGGCAAGTGCAAAGTCCTGAGTTCCATCCCTGATACAAAAAAAGAAAATAAAATAGAATAGAATTAAAAACTGCTGAAGAACTTTGTCAAAGCATCTGTAGTTTTTCCCAAAACATACTATTGTACTCCAATTTCATTAACATTTGCACAGTCGTTGGCAACTTCATGATTTCAAAACTCTTACACAAGAAAAATGTGAATCTGTTTACTCATTTGCAAAGAGGATCTTACAAGTTGTTTTCATTCTGAGTTCCTTGTATGAGATTTTTCACTACAACTAAGACGCATTTCTCTCAAAACAACGCGTAAAATCCTCTTTCATGGAGCAAAACAGAACACAGGTCTCAAAATAAAGCAGGACTTCAGTTAAGAAGCTAGGTTCCGAGTTGCTCTGCTTAAAATCTAAAATCAGTAACGCAGGTCTGTGCAGTCAGCGGGGACCCTTAACGCCCAGAGCGCAGCCTCGGACTGAGCCGGGGCTGGCTGCGGGAGCACCCCAGGCGCAGCCACCCCGCGGGCCTCGTGGATCCCGAGTGGGCAGCGGCGCCCAGATGCGCCCTCCTCGCCCGGTGGGGCCGCGCGGGCGAGACACTTCCTGCGCTATCAGCAGCCCCACTGCCCGCGGCCAGGGGAGCCCGGCGACCTCACCCAGCCTGCCCGCGTCCTCGCGGCCACCGGGAGCGCAGTCGAGGCACCCGGCGCCCGAGCCTCGCACCCCGGTCGCCGGAGGGGCGCGGGGCCCTGGGCCGGAGCTGCAGCCCTGCCGCCTCCCGCTCTGCCCAGGTGGAGCCCCCTGCCGGGGTCCCTGCGCGGGCGCCAGGGCGCAGAAGCACCTCACCTTCTCCTCCGTCCAGGAAGCGGCACCCCGACTCACGCCCCAGGCCGCCAGGAGCAGCAGGTGGAGGGTGCCCGCAGCGCCTGCCATCTCTGCCAGCTCCCGGGGCCGCAGCGGGCACGAGCCCGGGAGCGCGCGCCCGTCTCCGGCCCCTTCTCCACCCCGGGTCGGCTGCGCCCGCCTCCCTCCCCAGCTCCGCGGTCAAGCCTCGCCTGCGCGCAGGCCGAGCAGCAGCCTCCGCCCCCAGACCGAGGCGAGCCGGGGGGCCGGCTGCTCCGAGGGACGAGACAGCGCTTCCTCGTCTTGGAGAGGATGCAAGGAAGGGAGGGAGGAAGATGGAAAAGCCTTTTACGATGTGGAGAATACAAAGGAGGGGAAGGGCTCATCAGAGCCCGGGAGGAGCTAAGAACTGATTTTTGGCAGCTCTGTCAGAAGACCTGGACAGAGTCAAGTGAATAATCTGCACAGGGCCCTGTCCTATTCTTCAGTTATAATACCTTTTGATAAATGAGGAAAATAAGACCCTCCTGAGAAAGCTGGGAAGCCTCAAGGAAAAGTGTTTCCTCTGTAATAGGGATCTAGGGGAAAATATAATTACCAACCTGCTAAGTGTCAGCTATGCCAAGGTCATGTTCCCTGAAATCAAAGAGCAAATTCCAAAGAATAATGGAGGTTAGAGTAAAAAGGTTCATTGGCGAGTAGGAATAGCTCCTGAGAGACAGGAGGGGTCCAGGAAATGGGTATAGAGTAAGATCAAGAGATAGGTATCCTATCACCTGTCAGGTGCAACATGATCAACCAATGAGATTACAAGTATAGCGACTTAGGTAATATTGAGCCAATAGAGAAGCAGGTCACTTAGCAGGTACATGGAAAAAACAAAGTTTTAGGAAGGGATGGGTTCAGAGTTCTGGTCACCCACTTGAGTGACTTTCTAGATTTCACTGGCTGTGGTGATATCAATTATACTGTAATCTTCAAGTTATGGCTTATCCCTTGGGGAGGCAATGTAGCACTGGTCTTTGAAGCCTGGGCCTTAAAGGAGAGACACACCTCCAGCAATAATTCTAATACGTTTTTTTCTGACATCCCAGTCCCTTTCTGATTTTGCATTAATATCTATTTAATTTAACTGCCTATAATAACAGGGCATTTTTATCTTTTCTCTCTTTTCCCACAAGTATTTGCCTTGCCTTATAAGAGACTGACCATCATACCCCCAAACTGAGAAGTTTGGTTGATGTAATTATCTGAAATGAATGAGATCTAGAATACTACAGTGGGTCTCATGTGCACTTCCAAAATTAGAATAGCCAAATACAATTTTATTTACAGTTGGCCCATGCTTCCCTGATTTCTGCACCCTGGAATTCGGCCAAATACAAATCAAACGATGTGGGGAAAAATTGTGCCTGCACTGAAGAAGGTCAGACTGTTTTGTGTCACTATTCCCATTGTCGTCATTATATGTCGTCATTAAATATTTAAGTAGAATTTGCATTGAATTAATTGTTGAAAGTAATCTATAGATGATTTGAAATACATAGGAGGATGTGCAAATGGTATGACTTTTTATATAAAGGACTTGAACACTCAAAGATTTTGGTATGGGGAGAGTAGTCCTGGAACCAATGCAGTACTGATACTGGGGCAGACGGTACCTTGTAGTGTCAAAGGTCGTTGTCATTGAGATAATACTATTTTTAAAATAAACAAAACAGGATTGAAGCTGTAGTTCAGTGGTAAAGTGCTCGCCTAGTACGTGCAAGGCCCTCAGTTCAATCTTCAGCACCACAATAAGGAAAGGAAAACAATTTAAGTCTTGTCTGCAGGTGTTTGGTCTAAACTGTCAAGACAATTACTTCATATCCTCTTTTTCTTCCACAGTGAGGATCAGGGCTTGACCTGTCGTGCGTCATCTTTCAGTAACATAGAATTCCTAGAAAAAGTAAACAAGCATACTAAAACAGAACTATTTCCTGGGGATCCAAGTTTGAAGGTGATGAAGCCTACCAGAAGGCCCAACCATCCTTTCTTCTGAGGCTTGGCTACCTGGTGACTTTCCAAAGAAAGCTGGTCTGGGAATACATGGTTATACCCGCTCTGGAACTGCCAGGAAAGACAAGATGAGTTTCTCCTTGCCTGAGGTTCAAAATCACAAACCCTATTCATGTCTGAGAGTTTTGAGTGACAGTTTAAACATCCAGGATTAAATAATATGGAATAGCTTTTTTATTTCAACCAGGGAGAGTTCTGTCTTCAGAAATGAGAACTTTCTATTGGTTCGGTATTCAGAGCAAAACAACTATCTTATGTCCCAATGTGTCACCTCCTTTGCTGCCCAAACCAATCATAAAATAGTAGGTCTCTTGAGGGCAAAAAAAACCACTTATTTTTCTCACTCTGATTACCTTTTTATATTTTCATAACATGGTTTCTGTAAGAAAGAGAAGGTGAAAACAGCAAGTCTTATGAAACAAAATAGGAGCCATAATATGGTGCTAAATATGAACAAGTAAAAATAAGAAATCTGAGAATAATCAAGCTAAAATGCTAACACATAATTTGGTGGCGATTTTCTGTTCCTTAGAGTTCTCCGATTTTGGTCATATTTAGGTCAGAATGAAGCTGCTGCAGCTTGGGATCTACAGGAAGCTGACTCTGAGACGGTTTAGCAAGCAGGATGTGTCTTAGGGTGTTGCCCTTGGGACAAAGCTCTGTGGGAGGAAGGAGGAACAAGACCAGGCAGAGGGAGAAGTTCCAGGGAAGTGAGCTCCACAGCCTCTCTCACACCCATGGGGAGCCTAGAACTGAACTGGCCTGTCAGGCTGTCCTGCAATGGACCAGAAAGGCTGGACTTCACCTTCCCACCTCAGCGGGGAGCCCAGCACTCCAAAGAAAACTTCAGCCAGCAGCATTCCAACAGCTGGAGCAGCCCTTGCCTGAAAAGAGATCTGAACAGTACGCCTCTGTATCCACCACAAATGTAACCATATACTGGATCTCATACAAATCTAAACCATTTCGTGGGCTAACTGAGGCTGATTTTATTGTTTTTGTTTTTGTTTTGCATACCTGGGCTTTTCTGACAGCTTTCCACAAATGCACAAGTCCAACCCAACTACTTGTATCTATACTTCCACGTTTCTTGTGTCTTATACACTAAACATCCACTTGCACTTCCCTTTACTCATTCTGTTCCCTCCTTCATTCTAGAAACTTTTAGAAATCCTTTATATCTGCTGGGTGTTTTTTTCCTACTGCAACTTTTCCTTTCTTCAAGCTCTCCCTATAGAAGATAATCCATAGCTTTCACATTTTAATTAAAGTTTCAGGTCTTATTTTCTTATCATGGAAAAAAAATCAGTGATAATACTTCACAAGAAGAGTGGTTGTCATCTTTAGTGAATTCAAGGCCAACCTAGAATATATAAGATTCCATCTCAATAAAGCAAACAAAATGCATAGATTCTCCATATTGGATTTACAGGATGCCAGTCCCAATCTCCAAAATAAATCCCCATAGAGTATATACCTAGTACCACCTTTAAAGTGACGTCACTGAACTAAATCAAAAATAGCAGTTCTCAACGTGTAGTTGTGAACTCCTAGAACCTTTGAATATCTCCAAAGTTAATTTAGTTTTAATTTTTTACTGCATTAACTTTGCACTAATGTTGCAAAGACTCAGTGCTTATTAAAACAGGACACAAAATTTAATATTAAAAGAAAATTGTACTCATTATCAATATACATACTGCCTTGCACACAGGAAAAAAGATTCCATGTCACTTAAGAATTTATTAATGAAACAATAAAATTAGTTGTTTTTATTAAATCTCAACCCCTGAGCACATATCTTTTAAATGGCTTTATCGAGATATAATCGTAATACATTAAGTTATACATATTTAAAGAATCTTTGGAATGAGTTTTAACACATGCATATACTTGTGAAACCACAATCAAAAGAATAAACAAGGCTGGGGATTTAGCTCAATAGCATAAGCACCTGCCTGGCAAGCACAAGGTCATGAGTTAGATCCCTGGTACCAGAGAGAATGGGCGGGGGGAGGAAGAATAAACACATTAACCACCTCAGAATTTCTTCTTCCTTTTTCTTTTTGATCTGCCCTTCTAGTACCCAAGGCAAATCATACATCAGCCACAGTGTTTTCCAAAATCCTTGTACAATTTTGCACTACCACAAGTAATATATGAGAATTTTGACCACACAACATTCTCACCAATATTTTGTACTTTTAGCCTTTAATTTTAGCCATTAGAATATACAAATGATTGCACAAACTTCTATTCTCAGCACTCAAGAGACTGAGGCAGGAGGATGCCATGAGTTCAGGGATAGCCTGGGTTACATAGTGAATTCAAGGTCAACCTAGAATATATAAGATTCCATGTCAATAAAGCAAACAACAAAGAAAGAGAAATAACATGTGTTATGTTCATGTAAAACCCTCCAGAGGAATATAATCATTAGGTAACACAAATAGGTGCTAATAAAAAATAAAAATTGAAAAAAGAATAAATGATTGATTTCATTTTTTCTTTTTTATTTGTTTCATTCATTCCTGAACATATCTTTATTATTTCCTTTCTTCTACTTACTGTGGGTTTTCTTTGAAACTCTTCCCTCCTGTTCCATTAAAGTTTCAAAAAATGAAAACTTGAAGATATTAATGTGCAGCAATTCATTTTTTTCTAGTAAGAAGTTTTTAGGCACTGTAATCCTCTTTCAAGTGCCACTTAGATAAGTTACAGGTATTTTGGTATGTTGACTTTTTGGTTTTAATCAGTTCAAATACTTTCTAGTTATCCTTTGATTTCTTCTTTTAGCAAATGTGTTACTTAAACTGTGTGACTTATTTTCCACGTAAAATTTCCATGATACTTTTTATTAAATTTAATTCCATCATGATCAGAGAGCATACTTTGTACAGATTGTTTTAATTTTTTGAGAATTATTTTACATCACAGAATATAATCCATCATGATAAAGTGTATGTTATTATTGAGTAGAGTGCTCTATGTCAGTTTAGTCAAGCTGATTTTTTTATAGCATTGCCCAATTCTTCCACATCACTGACTTTCTAGTTGTTATATTGATTACTAAAAAAAAAAAAATGGTGCAGAAATTTCTGAATATAATTGTGAACTTGTATAGTTTTCCATGCAGGTCTATCAATTTTTATAATAGATGTTTCTTAATGCATA